GGGGGGGCGGAGGTGAAACAAGACTGGCCAGGCCTTGACAACTTGCTGGAACTGGTCCACCAGGGGGCCATTCTATCATTCTGCCTACTTTTGTGTATGTTTGAAATTTTCCATAATAAAAAGTTATTTTAGAAACATTCCAACAAACCCTGCCCTTGAGAAGCTAACATTCCTGTGGGAGGAGTTGGATTGGGGAGGGGAAAAAAAGCAAAGGCCATAGCAGAGTGCAGGTGGCCGCAAGTGCTTGGAGAAAAACGTAGCAGGGAGTGAGGAAGGGAGTATCCTCTCAGGGCTTCTGTTTTGAATAGGGCGGTCTGAGGAGGTCTCAGTGAGAAGGTGAGACTCAGGTGTCAAGGCTTGAAAGAGGGGAGAGGGCGAGTCGATGTGGTTCCTGGGGGGAAGAGGGGTCCAAACAGAGGGATCAGCAAGTGCAAAGGTGCTAGACTCTGTCATGTGAAGGAACAGCAAGGGGGCTGGGAGGGTGGGAATGGAGTAAGTGAGGAGACAGGTGGGAGGAAGCGAGGTCAGAGAGGGAAGGGTCAGCTCAACATCATCCGGGGACTTGGGGACCACAGCAAGGCCTTTGGCTCTTGCTCTGAGTGAGCTGGGATGTACAACGTGGATTGAGCCTGCGTTACAACCAGGCATACACTCACCTGTCTCATTCCCAGGTACTCCCACCGCCCTCCCCACATACTCTCACCCACCTCCAACCCGACTGCAGCCCCCTCTGGCACACACAGGAGCCCGGAGGTAAATAGGGCTCCGGGATCTAGGAGAGGCTGGGCAGGGATTTGGAGGGCCTCAGTGGGGAGGGGCTCCACCCAATCCCCAAGGCCCCTTCTGCTGGTTGCTCTCCATCCTCCCCTTGACCATATCCTCCCCTCTCTTCCTTCCTGCACCCCCCATTACCCCCCCAAATGACAGGCCATCACCCCCTACTACCTCCCTGCCCCCCCCCCGGTTTCCTGAACACTGAGTCATGGGCTGAAAGGAACTGCAGGTTGGCGGGGTGCTCCCCTGTCCTGGCACACTCCACCCCCCGCCAGCCCCCTGCCTCACTCACCTGCAGCTCCTGAAACAGCAGGTCAGCCAGGACTCGGTGGCAGAGCCGGGTCACGCGGTCCAGAGCGCTGGCAGCTGCTTCTCGGGCTGGCTCACTTTCGGGGGGCCCCACCCGGGCAAGGCGCTCTGCCAGAGCCCTGTGGGGATCAGAGGAGCCACAAGTCAAGGAGCTCCAATATTCTGCTCAACTGCCTGGACCGCTCTTCCTCCTTAGATGGCCTCTATTTCGTGAGCACAGGGGTGACAGGTCAGATGGGGAGCTGGAGGAAGTCAGGGGCTCTGGGGAGAATCTGGGGGCTGAGCGCTATCAGGGGGTGTTTGGGAGGCTAGGGGGATATGGAAGCTCTGTGGAATGTGATTCTAAACATCTCTAATTCTAAAATCCTACCTTTCCCACTTCTCTTAATGATGACCCTCCATCACTGAAAGGACCTTAACGTGGTCTGAGGGCAACTTGGCATTTTCTGCCCAAAATCCCAGCGAGCCCCCTTCCGGGCATGTGTCCTTCAGAGTCCCCACGTTTGTGGGAATTGACAGGTGTGCCAGGTTTTTCTCTGCCAAAGGGTGGAACCGACTCTCCATTCACTGGGGACAGTAAATACGTGATGGTATATCCAAACAGTGGAACACAGTTCAGATCTAAAAGGAAATGTGGGAACTCCACGTGCTAACAGGAAGGTCTCCAAGCTGTTAAGGGGAAAGGCACAAAAGTGTGTTCAATAGTCTACCATTTGTGGGGTTTTTTTTAAAGGAAAAGGAATAATATGTATTCACACAGCGAAATATATTTACTTGTGTATATATATGGAATGTGCATATGAACGTGCACAAATATGCATATGCATGAAGTATGCATATGCATGCATACACTTATTTACACATATTTATGGGTAAGTATATCAAGTGCCCCAGCAAAGATATGGCAGACTTTAGCAATAAGGAAGGTGGGGAGCGTGTAGGAGGGCGGCTTTCCACTGTATGCCCTATTGTATCTCGAATTTTGAACCATGTAAATGCATTCCCGATTTTTCAAATGCATGAAAAATAAGTTAATAAAAAAAGGAGAGTAAGATAAAAAGGCAAAAAAACATCTGTAATTCCTAGAGTGTTTGAGTCTGGCTTCTAGGTTCCTATAATTAGAACACTCCAATGTTCTGATCACTCCACTCCGTAATTCTAGGGCTCTGTGATGCTAAGGTCCTTTCCAGGACTCCCTAGGGTTTTATGCTTCTGAGGCCCCATGTGCCTGTCACTCTGGGCCAGCTCTGGGATCCCCGCCCCAGTTCAGCTTGTCACGGCCACTGGCCCTCTCCCTCAACACACACTGGGCACTCTCACCTCAGCGGGGGCCCACAATTGACCAGGGAGATGGTCCTGCTGACGTAGGTGTCAGGTAGCAGCTCCCGCACTCCTGGATGCTCATGGAATCGCTCCACCCGCTGCTGGAAGCTGGTGACAGGAGGAAGGGAGGGTGCGTGACAGATGGAGTACCGCTGGAGGAGGGCCTCTTGCTGGGCACTCAGCCCCGCAAAGCCTGTGATCCTCACTGATGAGCCTCTGCCCATCCTTATTTGGTTCCCTTTCATCTCTCCTCTCTCTGTTGGATCCTGGGTACTGATGCCTCTTCCCCCCCCGCCCAGCCCTGTCCCCCTGCCCCCAGCCCTCCATACCTCTGAAGGAATTCTGCTAGCCCCGCCAGGCAGCAGTGGGCCATCCGCTCCCCAAACTCCTGGCTGATGCGGGGTGCTCGTTCTGTATGTTCTTCCAGCAGCTGGAGAGGAGAAGGGGTGAGGAGGGGGGAGGTCCTGCTTTCCCACCCGGGGAACTCTTCCTGCTGATTCTCCTTCCACTTCCCCACCCCCTACCTCACACACATCCTGCGCCAGGCTGCTGGGCCGGTCCTCCGAGCTCCCCCAGTGCTCCTCATTCTCCTGCAGCACCCGAAGCAGGGCTGCGCGTGTCTGAGCCTGGAGTGGGAAAGTGGGGGGAAAGACAGGAGTCAGGGGCGCCTGGGACCCTCTCCCTCCTTTTCTCCTCCCCCCTCCATGGTCCCTACAGCTTAGCCCCAAGCAGGTCTTGGTTCTACTCCTGAGCTTGTAAAGGTCATGCTGAGGAGGGAGGCTGGACCAGAAAACCTCCCCAGCACTTTGCATCCCTAGGTCTATGATTTGGAGCTTGATATTAAGAGTCTGTAGTTTTGGGGCTACTGGGGGGCTCAGTCGGTTAAGCGTCTGCCTTCAGCTCAGGTCATGATCCCAGAGTCCCAGGATTGAGCCCTGCATAGGGCTCCCTGCTCAGCGGAGAGCCTGCTTCTCCCTCTGGCCCCACCCCCCATTCGTGCTCTCTCTCACTCTTGCTCACTCTCTCTCTCAAATAAATAAAATCTAAAAAAAAAAAAAAAAAAAAAAAAAGAGTCTGGAGTTTTAAGCTTCCTCCATCTGATAGCCAGAGAGTTTGAGGGTCTATTCTCTCATTATTCGATGGTCCTAAGGCTCTGCTCCCCAGGTTCTGCAAAAACAATTTGCTCAAGAGAGTCAGATTCTGTGATTCCAGAATTCCAACGGTCTGGGATCATAAGGTTTATGCATCTCTGATTCGCTGGTCCAATGTTCCCTTCAATGAATCTGAGAATCTAGGTATGTTGGAGTCTGAGATTCTAGGCTCTCAGGTTACAAAGATTCTGATTTCTCTGGCTGAGGCAGGACTGGAATTCAGGTGGGAAACAGCCCCGGGGCCAGGCTGGGTGTTCGCGGCTGGACCATCCTGCGGACTGGTGCCCATGCCTGGCCAGTTATTAATCATGCTGACCGTCTGTCCTGCTTGTGTCCAGGGCTTGCTGTGATGCCTTCCTTCCACAAGGCTTTGGGACCGTGAGCTGGGTTTCTGTGACTGACTCTTGCTCTACGATTTGGGTTTGAAGTATCGGAATGTATCGAACCTTTACTGATGCTCTCTGTGCCTGGCTGGGTGCTTGGGTAACAACATTGAACCTAAGGCAGAGGTGATCGGTACGGGTTTACGTTTCTGTGTCTTGGGGGCAGAACTCAGAAGTCCACAAAGGGAAAAGGGAAATGGGAGTAGCCAAAGGGGGAGAGGAGAGGCCCCCAAGCCCAGTGCGACCCCTCCCTTCCTGCAGAGTCCCTTCTGCTCCCAAGTCCCCCAGTACCTTAACATCTGTGACACATTCATCCTCCAAGCCCCGCAGGGTGCCGGGAGACAGAAGGGGCCCCAGCTCCCCATTCTCCAGGGCTACCAGGTCCACCAGCCCTAGGACCTCTCTGTGAGTGGGGGACAAGAGACAGGGAGGTCTGTGAGAGGGGGATTGGGGCAACTGAACCCCTCCACACCCAGGGTGTTTGTGACCCTGGGCCACTCCCTTCCTCTCTAGGGGCCGGCTTTGCTCATCCCTCAAAGGAAGTCTCTGGAATTGTTGCTCCCCTGGCTCCAGCTCTCTGAGTCAGCTCCCTGATGAATGGTGTCCGGGCAAGACTTGCAGGGGTCAAGTCCAGGCTTGATGGTCTGGCACACAAGATCTCTCCCATGATCAGCTTCACCAGACAGAAGCTCCCTCCCGCCTCCGCTCCTTGTCCCTGCCACCTCACCTGGCCCTGGAGGCCTCCTGGGTCTAGCTCTCACTCCCCGATGCTACAGTCTTGCACACTGCCCTGGGTGATACCGTCCCTCTCCCTATCCCCTCCCCACCACCACCCAAATGCACCCCAAGCTTTTGCCCGTGGCATCTTCTCAGCCAGAAGCACCATCTTCCTACTCCTGCCCTGCCATTCCAGGAAGCTTTCCAGACTCCCTGTCCTGCCTCATCTCTCATAGGTGGTGTGAGAGTGTCCTTAACACATATTCCCAAAGGGGATCTAGGAAGTCAATGTCACCAGCTGTTGCTTTCCCATTCTTCTAGTGACAGCAGGATGATCTTGTTTGAAGGACCACCCACCCCACTGGCTCGCCAACATGTGGTTTGGGTGTGGCCAGTTCCCTTTCCCCAGAGTGCGTAGGTGACCGAGGTCATGGTTAATCATATTCCATCCCCTGGCCACAAGAATGGGTATGTTTTAGGATCCAAAGTCTCGACATGTGAAGGTTTTAGGACTGGGAGCATCAATGGTGCTGAGGTTCTAAGTGCTAAGGTGACAGAATTCAAGGGACCAAGAGCGTTACAGTCCTAACGCTGCAAGGATCCACAGTATCAAAGTTCTAGACTCTAAAGAGGGAATGAAGCTAAGGTTTAGGATTTGAAGTCTCATTGGTGCTAAGGTTCTAGGATTGAAAGTGTCAGTGCTCAAGTTCTAAGATTGGAAGAATCAACAGGGTTAATGCCGTAGGATCTAAAGAGAGAGCAGTTTAGGATTTCTAGAATTCTGAGGGTCAACTATGCCAAGATTGTAGGGATGTTGGTGCTAAGGTTTTAGTGTTTAAGAGTCAGTGGTGTTAAGGTACTAGGACTGGAAGGGTCCATGGTACAAAGGTACAAAGGTACACCGAGAATGATCAACGGTGCTAAATTCTAGGACCAGAAGGGTGAACAGTACTGGGATTCTAATAGTATACGTGTCAATGATGGGAAGGTTCTAGGCCTGGAAGTGTCAGTGGTGCTAAGATTTTAAGAATGGAAAGATAACAATGCAAGGCTTCTAGAACAAGAAGGATCCACAATGCTTAGACTCTCGTACTGGAAGGGTGAGCAGTGCTATGATTCCAAGGGTGGAAGTGTTGAGACGCTGAGGTCCTTGGGCTGGGGGTGCCGAGGTATTAGAACTGGAAGGACTCGGGCGCCTGGGTGGCTCAGTTGGTTAAGCGACTGCCTTCGGCTCAGGTCATGATCCTGGAGTCCCGGGATCGAGTCCCGCATCGGGCTCCCTGC